CCAACTTAATAATTGTTAAGAGAGAAACTTGGATCTATGTGGCAAGTATGGCACTTCTGCGATGAAAATTGGTGTATATATATACCCATTAGTTTTGGGTTGCACATCCAAATTTAGCATATATTAGTTGGGAACAGCAATTTAAAATTTATTGATTGCAACTTATTCTAAAGATTGATTAGTTCAAAAATTGAGATGCACAGTTTCTGGATAATGTTTCCATACATCAGCTAGGAATTTTTTTAGAATGATCTCTTATTATAAAATCATGAGTTTTTAAAATAGCGTTTTGACATTTCATCTTAAATATGAAACAACTCGCAAAGCATTGTTTTCTGTGGTAATTAACTCTGTCTACTACTTATCTAAAATCATTTGGCGAGTGGGACCCTGAACTGCTTAGCTTATTGAATCTTCTGTTGAATTTCTTATTGTAGTTTTTTTATAATGAATATATTTTACTAAATTAATAGCTCAAGCAATACCAAATTTTTCATTCATTTTTAATGAATCCACTCACTTTCTGGCTTCTGCATACTGTTTTTCTAGTGGTTTTCTTTCAAGTTTGTAGTATTTCTCCTAGTATTTGAAACAAATTAGACTGAGATTTGAGTTATAACTGGCTTCTGTGGTAGTGTGCCTTTTTAAAAATGAAGAAAGTGGTGTCAGTCTTTCTTGTCTTCCTCGTTTATGTTTGAAACCTTACTCGTTAGTCTTTTCTGTTGTTATTTTCAGGGGCACGAGCTTATTTTGCACATCCTTTACCATCTCCGTAGTCTTGTGATCTCAGATCCTGTGTCATCTGCTGCCGCTGTATACGAGGAATTCCTTCTGAGAGTGGTATGATATTTCTTAACCGTCGTTAGTGCTGCAGCCTCAAAATTATTAATCCTTGCATTCAATTTCAGGCAAAATCCTTGCTAAGCGATTTACCAGCTTCTGACAAGTCTTTTAGTCGACTTCTTGGTGAAGTTCCCTGTATACCTGATTGCGTGTTGGGGCTGCTGCACGATATATGTACCAGGAGGCATTCTGGAAAAGATTCTCGAGATGGTGATCGTGTCACTCAGGGCCTTGGTGCTGTGTGGAGCTTGATTCTAGGGCGGCCACTGTATCGTCAAGCATGTTTAGATATAGCTTTGAAGGTGATTTCAGCATGAGATTAAGTGACTTCTCGTAGTACCCTTTATCACGTGTTAATTTAAATCAATATGACCCCGTAGCTGTGTAGTTTATTATTGGATGTGCATGTTAGGTCATAATAATTATTACTTTTCTGCTGCATTGGTTCAGGTTGTGCATTCCTAATTGTTGTGCTTGTTCATTTGATGAAGGGTCTAGTAGTTATTGCTTTTCTGGGCCATTTGATCCGACTACATTTATCTGATGTATGCATGTTTTCCCTTCCAGATTATCGTGCTTGATTATTTAATGAAAATCTGATATGTTTGTGCTTTTATGAACTTATTCAACTTGCAACAAAATTTAAATATGATACAGGACACCCTCTGTCAATTTGAATAGTACTGAGGCATACGTTGAAATGAGCACGATTTTGGGGATTTTGAACCTGATATAGGGTTACTAGAAGATTGAACATTACACAATAACAGTTTAAAATATCAGAGGGAAATAGCCATCTTATTGTACTCATCCTATTTGAGCTTAGTTCTGATATTTTGATCTTATGAAACAGAAACTACTGAACAGTACAGTGCAGGAGATGACTATGAAAGAAATAATCAGGACGATCCTGGACTATGTATTAAGTGATTAAGTATATATGTGAATCCATCATTAATGAGGCAAAAGTTCTGATGTGGAAACAGCAATCTGATGTACTTTTGGATGGCCTGATTTCTCTTCTTTCTATTAGTTGTTTTAATTTACTAGGTTGTAGCTTTGTTGTAAAGATTGTATCTATCCATCCCCAGCATACCCTAATAGCTTGATACAAATGAAAATGAACTTTGGTAGATTATAATCCATTTATCTTATTTATTGCAAACTGCAAGGATTAAAAGAATTTCTCCCTTGACAATTTTGAATATGCCGCAAATTTCCAAATTAATGCCCTCTTCTGTATATTGCAGTGTACTATTAACCAGGAGGATGACGTTAGAGCAAAAGCTATACGCCTTGTAAGAGAATTTTCAACTCTTTTCTTCTGCCCTTGTAATCTAAATGAAGCTATAGACCGAACTTTTTGTATCTACCCTAATGGTTACTTTTTCCTCTTTGCCATATATAGGTGTCGAATAAACTATATGTGGTCAGTGACATTTCTGAGAAGATTGAGCAATATGCAACGGACATGTTCTTGTCAGCCGTGGATCAACGTTTTACAGATGCATTTTCTCCATCTGTAGAATCTGAAAAAAGAATTGGAGAGGTTGGTGCCAATGATCTCTTTCTGGTTTCAATATATTAAGTTTTATTTTGTGCTGCTATTATATTAGTCCTCCCAACAATTACTGCTTGTTCTATGTTTAGGTACAAAATGCAGAAACATCTATAAGTGGTTCTCAAGTTTCAGAGACTGGAATTTCAGATAACGACTCTGTTAGGGGTGACCCGAATGCATCTGTGACTGATTCAACAAATATTTTCTCTCAAGCCCAAAGCCTCATATCCTTGTTTTTTGCACTATGCACAAAGGTATGATTGATCTTTCCCTTTGACAAATGGAGATGTTATATATCCCCTTTTAGTTATTAAGTTTTATTACTGATGTTGGTTTTATTTCAATGTAGAAACCGACTCTGCTACATCTTGTTTTTGACACCTATGCACGTGCTTCAAGGGCTGTTAAGCAGGTATCTCTATCATATGTTTAGCTATGTGACTGTACATCTTTCAGAACTTGTACCTTAGGTTTACTGATAAAGTTACTTTTTAGTATTAACTCTGATGTAACTTTTCTACAATGTACATTGTGATTGCATTGCCGGGCATACCATTTGAAGCATTTGTGATTCTGAAAGTCTAAGGAGTCAATATTGTAGTAGAGAAGATACTAGGAAAATCATGTTTGTTTGCTCAGCAGTTATGTTTCTTCTGTATGGCCACCATCTTACACGATCATACTTTGTTTCATGTTTTGGCAATTTGAAGGCGTGATTTTTCCTGATCAAATGTATATTTCTCTGTTCCTTGTTATTTGGTATTTTATGAAGGGGAAATTATGTGCAGTTTTACCAAATGCCATAAAAATAAGTAATAATTCCTTATTGAATTAGATATCCCCTTCGTTCTGGTAACAACATTATTGACTCCATTCTATTTAGTTTCCAGATAATTTGTAAGTGACAATTAAATTAAGGTTGTACACTTGTTAAAAACTGCTAGCATTTTGTGGACACCTTAAGGCTGATTCTCTGTCTTGTCATTAGTGTATGTGATTGCAATTCCACCAAATTCACTATGGTAAGACCAAACTGTATAGCCTTCATTGTTTTGGTTTGTTTAAATTTCACGTAATTCTAGTTTCCAAAATGTTCACATCTGAAAGATTCTATTATTGCTTTTGCTTGCTATGGGTTGTGGACCTGTGGTGAATGAACCTTCATTATGTCTATTTTCTTATAGCTATCTATTTAGTTGATATGGTTTAAGAGGCGCTCTAAACTTCCTATATGTAGGCCGTGCATCGTCATATGGCTGTTCTTGTGAGGGCTCTGGGGTCATCATATTCTGAATTGCTTCTTATAATATCTAATCCACCCAATGGAAGTGAAGATTTATTGATACAGGTTACTTTTCCCAAGCTTCTCAATGTGTTACAGACATCTTAGTTATTTTCTTCTTGATACACTCCTTTTGATGACATTCTCTGGTTTGTACCTGAAGGTTATTCAGTTATTGTGTGAAGGACAAACACCGCCTCCAGATCTGGTGATGACTGTCAAGCAGTTGTATGAGACCAAACTAAAGGTTCTCCATTGGTATCTAAATGTCATGTTATGACTCGTAACTTATAAAAGTTTTTTTTCACTAAACTTTTTTTCTCTTGCAGGATGCTGCCATTCTTATACCTATTCTGTCGGCTTTTTCAAAAGATGAGGTGCTCATGCTTCTACAGTTTTCTGAGCGTGTTATTGATCATCTGGATTTATTTATTATTCTGATGCTCTGTCAATTGTTTCAAATGTATTTACACAAATAAATTATGCTTGAAAGTTGTATCTTGCAGACCAAATTTATTACGGATTGAATAAATTAAGGCCTCATAGCATAACAGAAGCTGCTGATATTTTTATTCTTTTTTTCCTTTTGAGTCTTTATACATGCATTAGTTACCAAAGAGAGTAACTGAATATTGGGCCTGAAAAATCCAGAGACATGACAGTTTTATTAATCCTTAAGACAAATCTGAGCATTATCAATTTTTTTTTTTTTTTTCTTGAGTTGTCGGAGCAAGAAAAAAAGGTGGATCTTATACTAATAGTATTAACATCCACATATACTAATCTTACTTCATTTTGATTTTGTTTAAATATTTATCATGCTTATTTTGACCTTGTTTTTTGTTGATATTTTGTAGGTGCTGCCTATTTTCCCTCAGCTTGTCCAGCTTCCACTGCAGAAGTTTCAGATGGCACTAGCTCATATATTACAGGTTTACTTAAACCCACAAAAATATTACTTTGATTTTAGAAAATAATTAGATTTTCCATTTTCCGAGGTGCCTTTTGTCGTTGGGCCTTTACTAAGTGCATTTGGATTTGAGTTTCCCAGATCTTTATATCCAATCTCTTACCAGGATCAGTAGAAATGTAACCGAGGACCTTGTAAAGTGAGACATAGTGATGATTTTCATTGAAGCAGATATCGAGAGTCCTGATTCCTTATAGCAATTTTACGTCCTAAAATAGCAGACGAACAAATATGATGAGAAAATAAATTATGGAAAACGTATTGGATCCATTTTGATGAGAAACAGACATCAAACATCACTAAGAACCCAAAAAAGATATTATGGAAATTGGAGATCCTAGAGACATGATTTGATACTTAGTAGTGAATTAGTCAGTTATCAATGGGTTTCTTCCTGTATGCAATGTTTGGTACGATATATATTATATGGTTTTGAGTGATATCTCCAATCTACACCCTACTGACCTTTTGTCAGCTTCATATTATCATATGCGAGTCGGATGACAATATTTACCTTTCTCCAGGGTTCTGCTCATACAGGTCCTGCATTAACACCTGCTGAAGTGTTGGTAGCTATTCATGATATATCACCTGACAAAGATGGCCTTCCAATAAAAAAGGTTGTTTATCTATCTACCTATCAACATTTAGAGTCCTTGATGGTTTAGAAGGAATTTCGTTACATGTTTACACGATATGGTGTCTGTTCTGATCAATCACTTGGGCTTTTTGGTGATATACCTTTACTAAAATGCACGATATGCAATCATCAAGTCATTATTGGTTAGTGGCGTGGTAAATTTAACTTCACATTGTCATCATTCTTGAACATAGGCATTTGTCGTCCTCTAGTCAACTATTTTATGGGATCTCTTTAAAAATTTTATCAAGCAATTGAAATTATGGATCCGAACTTGCATAATGCTCTATGTTTT